GTTCCCTTGAACAATTGGCATTGTATGGATGGGATAAACTAGAGTCTCTACCACATCAGCTTCAACATCTCACTACCCTCAAGGAATTGAGGTTATGGGACTTCAATGGCCTGGAAGCTTTGCCAGAGTGGTTGGGAGACCTCTCTTCTCTTCACAGGCTAGACATTCGGAACTGCTCTAATTTGACTCATCTGCCGCATCAGCTTCGACATCTCACTGCCCTCAAGGAACTGGGCTTATCAGACCTCAATGGCCTGGAAGCTTTGCCAGAGTCGTTGGGAGACCTATCTTCTCTTCACAGGCTGGAGATATGCAATTGCTCTAATTTGACTCATTTGCCTTCTATTGAAGCCATGCGATGCCTCTCCAACTTAAAATATCTTGGCATTTGGGATTGTCCCAAATTGAAGAAAAGATGTGCCAAAAAGAGGGGCCCCGAATGGTCTAAGATCTCCCATATTCCCAATATCAGAATCCATTACAAGGATGTGCAAGGGGAATTCAAATACTCCCAGCGTATGTTTAATTTCTAGAACCTTAATCCCTTCATTCCACATCATTTATGTACACCCTAATCAGAAATTTAACAACCGTAAAGCATTGCTTTTTAATCTCTTACTTTTGAAACTTATTAACGTATTATGATTCTGTTTTCTTCTTCTCTGAAACATATTAACATATTATGATTCTGTTATTCAAATAATCAAGTTTTAGTCTTTGACCAAATTTCGGTGATTCATGCAAAGGAGTGATTCTAAATATTTACAATTTCATAGCAAATGTTTTTGTACCAGTAGGTCCTTTGTTATTTTCATAATTCTTAGGCATCAATCACTTGAGTTTGAGTAGCCATCGCAGAATTGTGAATTAATGCATAATCAAATGCTTAGATTAGCCAACTATAAATTTCTGATGGACTAGAAGACTGGCAAGACTGACAATCAAAAGCTTTCATTTTTGAGGTTTGCTTTGTCCTCCATAATCCATTTTTTTTAGATGTTGAGTATGACTTTTTTTTTTTCTCTTTTGTGTGTTTTTTTGAAGAAATTTTCTTTTGTGTGTTTCTTTGTTGATTGCCAAGTTTGCATTGGTTTTTCCATTTTTTTTCTTTCCCTTTTCGTCTGCAATGATTTGTTGACCTGAAAAAGGAACTGATCTCATAAACCTTCCAAGTTTCACCTGCCATCTTGAGTCACATTTCCAAATATAGGTCTAATAACAATATTCATTACTAAATATTTTCCAAACAATGCCTGTAGGGAGTTTTGTCTAGCATTCCCTGATCTGAGATTGTGCCTTACAGGAAAAACAGAAAATACCCTAAAAAAAAAAGGGAAAAAGAATGAAAAATTATTTTGGTGAAATGATTCTCATATATATATGTAAAAGGTGGATTAAGTTGAACTAAAGGGTTTAAGTTATCAAACTCTTAAACTTAAAAGATTGGTAGATTTGATCTGTTTTTCTTCTTAATTAATCAAGTTTTTAAGTATAGAAGTCATTTCATTTCAGGTTAGAGATCGATTTAGTGTTTTTGCAGTAGTACACTGTTGACTATTTATGATCGAATCTGGAGACCTTACTACTTCTGGCTCTCCAACATTTTAAGAACACGCTTACCTATTAACGGCTGTCATATAAATTAATTAAAAATATATTTATTTTTGTACCATTAGGTCCTTTGTTATTTTCATAATTCTTAGGCATCAATCACTTGAGTAGCCATCGCAGAATTGTGAATTAATGCATAATCAAATGCTTAGATTAGCCATCTGTAAATTTCTAATGGAGTAGAAGACTGGCGAGACTGACAACCAAAAGCTTTCATTTTTGAGGTCTACTTTTTTTCCTCCGTAATCCCATTTTTTTAGATTTTAGGTTTGATTTTATTTTTATTTTGGGTTCTTTTGTGTGTTTCTTTGTTCAATTCAGTTTTGTTCATCCATTTTCATTTAAATAAATGCAGGCAATCTAATTTTCCTACTCTGAAACCAAAGAAGTGTCATGATGACTGGAGGGTGATTTTCACAGTAGGGACCCAACCAAATTAGTGGTTCTCTCTTTGAGTGTCTAAACCAGAGTTTCTCTAGGTTTGTCTTGTTACTTTGAAGTCATATGTGCCCTTAATCAATTTATGAATTTGATAAGTTTAATTTCATATTAAATCAAAACTTTAAGCAAAGAATTTATTCCAATATTTCAGGTTAAAGATTATGGTGTTTTTGGATTTGCTACTTTGCTGACCGTTAATGATCGAATCTGGAGTCTGGACTCCTTATGACTTTCTGGAATACATTTTGAGAACATCTTTTCCCTTTGACAAAAGCATTGCAGCTTTACTAATATAAATGATGGCGGCAGTCCTTTCAGTTTTTCTTGGAATTTAAAGATCTTGGTGCCATAGTTTATGTGTACACACATTTTGCAGTAGTGAGGAAAGCATTGAATTTTACTTGGAATTAACCAAAGGATCAACTCTTCCTCCATTTCTCAGGCTCTTGTGCTTTTATGGTAGAATATCTCTTTCAATTTCCAACAAACGAAGAGATGGTATGGCTTTTCAAACCTTTTTCTTTGAATCTAAAACATATTATACCTAGTTTTGAAAAAATTCTCTCTACAACTTAAATAGTTTGATGATGTAATAATGGACGTGCAATCAACAAATGAAGTGAAGAGAAACTGACAATGAGATCCCTGTGCACCAAGTGAGTGTTGGAAGAGTGGTCTCAATGGCATCAATGTGGTTGTGATAGAACTATAATTTTGTAAGTGTTCCCCTTTAAAAGGCATTCCAATATTTTCATCTCACTTTGTAGATGTAATTGATGGAAATGAATAAAAAGGCCAACCATCAGCATCTAGGAATCAGTGATATTGAACAGATGAGATTTTTGTTTCAGGGATTTATCAAACAATGGCTTAATCAGAGAAGTGCAAAACTTCTGTCTCAGCCAGTCTTATTGAAGAAAATGTAAGTGTCAATTGCATTTCTTCTTTTCCCAATTTCTGTTATTTGGTTATACATACATATAATGGACTCTTAGTCAAAGAAGGGATTCTGATGGCAGACACTGAAAGCACAAATTGGATAAAATGAACTCTCTTTTGTTTTTATTCACTTGTGCTTTGTCCTCTTGCTTTATAATACTGTGTTCTTAATACATTACTTATAAATTGATAACTTTGGGTTTGCAGGTTAAATCAAAGTTTATCTTGTTAGCAATTCTATTTCAGTGGGAGCTTCTGATATATTCCTTGTCTTCATACTCTGCTAATATCCAGGAGGAAATGGGGAATGCAATGAAAACAGAATGAGGGGAGCTGGAATTCAGTATATTTCAGTGTTCATCAAAGCTGGTAAGTCCTTGTCCTCCAAATTCTTTCTTTTCTTTACACTAATTACGTTTTCTTCAGGTTGCTTTGTTTTTATCTTAGTTTGTTTCATTCTTATTTCTGATATATTTCATCTTGCTTCTCATACCACTACCAGAAAAACATTTTCGAGGATGCATGTAGCAGTTTCATTTTGA